CACTTATAATTATATTTATTGATAATAGCCAACATAGTCAGCTTAGATGAATTCGATTTTTTTTTTATTGTGGCACTATTGTGAGTTTGTATGGAGGTGAATTGTGAACTCCGGCGTAAATCACGCCATCAGCGACGTCAGGAAGCGTTTCGCCATCCGCTGCTTCAAATCCGTAACGTTGGTATATGACGGTAATAAAAAGAAACATCACCTTCTTAGCAAATCCTTCACCTGGACATCGCCTTTTTCCTGAAATAAAACAAAACCAGTTAAAGCCAGCTAAAATATAAAATATTAGAATTTATTTAGACACAACACTTTCACACTGCATGCGATTGTGGTCGTTAGTGTGGTGATGATGGAGACGATAATGGTGAAAAAGATGAGAACGATGATGGTATTGATGATGATTATAATTATTAGGCCCCTATTCTAATATTGTGATATTTCACCGTTTCCATCCACACTTGAATATTCATCATTGACAATATAACATACCAAGGCCAAATGGAAAGTACGAGTCTTTGTTGATGTCCAGCTGCCCATCACTGTCCAAGAATCGGTCTGCGTTAAACCTTTCAGGATCCTCCCAGTAGCGCTCATCATGATGCAGCCCCCAAATATTGCCAAAAATGACCGTACTCTTTCTGATAACCTTCAAAATTGACATCCTTCTGCGTCGCGTGCGGAACGAGCTGCGCCGCTGGGCACGCCATGCGCAGTGTTTCGTAAATGGTGGCATCGTCGGTTCCCTGTCTCCAAGCACTGAATTCACTTCTTCCTGAATCTAATATAATGGATAAGAATGAGTCTATTATTAGTCATGAAGACTTATAAAATCATACTGAGAAAGAGAGTTATATTTGTAGGTCTATTGACGTTCTCTTTGTGTATTGTAAATATTACTTTATTCCAAAAACTGAAAAGATACAATTGTCGATTCTAAAGAATACCGTATTTCTATTGCCTCATTTCCAAATAATTTTATATAATATAATTATATAATTATTATTATAGTTTTTCCACTTGTTTGCACGGATGCCGTGTGGTACTATAATTATAATTAATAATAATAATAATAATAATATAGAAATTTATATAGCGCCTTTTGCCAAAGGATACAAGGCGCTTAGAAAAGGTTTATTGTAGGAAGAGGATTATTTAGGAAATAAATGAGCTTTTAAGAGTTTTTTGAAGACTTCAGTACTACAAGCATAATTATTGATTGACTAAGGCAAGAAATGCTAATTTTTATCGGAGGACAGTATGCACTTAGGCAACGGTGAATCCAAGAGTTTGAAAAAAACCGGGCCCCAAGGAAAGAAGTTTTGTAGAGGTCAAATCTATTCAGTCCCAATTAGGTGATGGATATACCAAAGATTTTTTTTAATTTAAGCTCTGGCAAGTTTGTCAGGGAAAGACACCCAGTGGTGGATCTCAAATGAA